GCGCCGCTGTTCAGTCGATTTTCCACTTCTACCAAGACCAAGACAAGCTCATCATCGATGTCGCGCGGTCTGAGGGAGGCGAAGTCAAGGTTTCTGGGGATGCTTCGCTGAATAAGGTCTTGGGCGAAGTCCCTGCGATCCTTATCCAGTCTGGCGTCAGAAGTATCAGCACCACTATTGTCGCCGGAGTGGTATACTTCATGGCATTGCGATCGTTCTTCTGGGGCTGGGCTTTGTTCTTCTTGCGACCTTTCTATAACCTTCCGAAAACCAACATGCTTCCGCCTCAGTGGCCCGGAGACATCTACTTGATGTTCCGATGCGCGGTTGCTGGCTTCCTGATCACCGCCATCTGGAAGACAGCCAATCATGCGTTTTCGACGTTCATGGTTAAGTCGCCTCTCAAGAACGGCAAGCCTCTCACGAGTGAATCCAAGGATCCAAACGGCAGTCTTCTGAATGGCCTTAAGAGCAAGAAGGACTCCGTTCGGGTAAGTGTACAATCAGGCAGCATACACCGATCCTCAAGCTAACACTGACAGTGCTTTGCCCTCTGGGAATTGGCATACATTGCTCGTAACGAAGAAGGCAGACGCAAGGCCATCTTCATGGATATCGACCGTAAAGATGGTTCTACGTGGTCTCAGATATTCATTTACTGCCTGACTACCATCAAGAGTATCGAACAAAGAATCGATCAGTACGGAAAGCCCGCGGCTGTGCCGGCTGCCCCAGCGCCAACTGCGGAAGTCCGAGCTCGGTCTTCAGCGCCATTGAAGGAGGACCCTATTTTCACTAGCAAGCCCGCGAACAAGACGATGCGCGGCGAGCTGGAAAAGGCCCTCACCCAGGTGGGAAGCCACCCCGGCCATTCACCAGTGTCGCAGCTGAGCCCTATCGCGAAGAAGACGCTGCGCGGGGCCCGTGACAAGGTTCTGAGCAAGGAGCAGCAAGAGGCGCTGTCTTCTCCTCAACTAATGAACCAGTTCCAGACATGGGCGCTGAAGGTTATTGGCAATGAGTACGTTGGCTGGATATTTCGCCAAGAGTTCCGCAACCGCCTCACCGCCGTTATCCTCGGAACGCCGTACTCAGAACTGAGCCAGTACGTCAACGCTGTTGATGTGCTCAGCTTGTTGGCCGTTCACAGTCTCAATGATGATAACTACGGCAGGGTACAAAAGGATGTTCCTACCATCATCCGCACCTTTACAACCGTCATCACCAAGATTGAGGCATTCAAGGACAGCTTTCCCGTTCACTGGACCGATATTGAGAAGGATAGAACTGCGCCCGAGGTGGAAGCAGTGATTGCAGCCTTGAAGACGGGCTTGGCCCAAGTGATTGCGGAGTTTGAACGATACAGCAGCGACTTGAGGTTGACTCGCACGGATATCAGACTGGCCAAGGAGGCGGCAGCCCAACAGATACTTCCCACGAGTGAAGTCAGATCCCAAGGACCCGAGATGCAGCAAGCCCGCTAGTCACAGGCTTTGGCATATGTGGTGTCACGGTACAACCATACTTTGTGAGGGGCGTTTGTTAGGCAAAACAGGCACGCATAACGGCATAACGACGTGTATCATAGTCAGATTTCACGAGGCAGTAAAACATTGCAGCAAAATCATGGTTTTATCAACAGAAGGGCTGATTGACGGTCTCATCACATGTTAAGTGAGGCGCACAAACCGGCCTTGCCTGCGTCAGCTCATCGGTTTGAGCTAGTCGAGAGCAATGATACGAGACGATTGGATGCCCGCGACTGGGCACTGGCGCACGTGTAAGACAGCAGACGCTACTTTTTCTTAGTCATGGGGCTTATGCCTTTCCCAAGGCCAACGCGGCGTCACGGCAGGTAAAAAATAGGTTCCTCCATTCCGAAGACTCCCCTCTCTTCCCATTCCGTCCCATCCCATTGTGCATCTGTCTTTGAGCGCCTGGAATGTAGAAAAGTTAGTGCCCGTTGCCGCCTTCCCGCTGGTGCCGCTAAACCGGATTTTGGATTAGAGCATAGAAAGCCTACCTAAAAATCAGCAGGGGTCCGCATGGAGGAACCCCCACCTGAGCTTTGTTGCTTTGTGGCCGGGAAGGCACTGCTAAAACAAAATGAAAGCCCCCCAACCAACCTCTCGCTTCCCCCGTCCGTCATCTTCTTCGTCGTCACCTTCACGCATCTGCGTACGCAACCTCCACCTTTTTCTTGTCTACTTACATATTCACCAACCTCCATTCTCTCCCTCCACCGTACTATACCCTTTTCTCCCCTATGTAATGTCTAGACTTCACACTTGTTCTTCTTAGCCTAGCTACAGCTACATTCTACCTCGTCGCATAGGCTTTTTCTTCCGCCCAGCCATGCTTTTCCAGTTTGCTCCATTACCTCATGCACTGGCTCGTCGGTCCATGATCCTCAACCAGCATTCTCGTCGCTTCCCGGGTTGAATCCTCAACGCTGGGAAACCCTTTCGAATCGCCCCCGATGTTCTCCCCACGAGCGATATTCCGTTTTATCTACGGAAGTTTCTACTTCGTCCTATGCTTCCTACTCGCCCTTCTCCTCCTCGTCACCCCCGGCGACACCATATACCAGGCCTATTCGAACAACCAGCCATATAACATATGGATCATTGCCGCCGCTCTGGTCCTCACCACTTTAATCGTATCCTTCATCTACGCGACGCGACTGTATCTCAACAAGACGATCCTCGCATCAATACCGAAGCCATGGGTTCCTATCGAGAAGGGCGACGTGAACAAGAAGGTTCACGAAATGATCACAGCCGACCTGAAGCGCAGCGCAGCCATTGCCTATGACGCAAGGCCGCGCATTGAGACGAATTTGTTGGGTGGCGATATGGAGGAGGTACTGGTCGAAAAGCAGAACTCTGGCGGTAGCGCGGCAAGGAAACGCTTTCAGCTACCGACCTTGAAAAAGCCGGCAACAACAGAAAAGGAGACTGGCATTGCGCTACCTCCTCGAAGGCCGGTTTGGGGCGAAATCGAACACTACGGCTGGTCATCACCCAACTCACTAGACCTCCCGGATCTACAGTACAGCACCGTCCTCTCCGAGCTCCCGAATCTCATCGAAGCAAAGGCCCTGACACTGGCGCCTCCCGATCCGACCTCTTTCAGTCAACCACCGATGCTCGATGCCGATGCGGTGGCCTTGCTGCAGCGCCCGTTACCCATGAGTCTGCGCGACTACCTTGGCCACCTTGCTGAGCTGGGGGTAATCTCGCTTAATGCGACGACCGCCGATTTCCTCTCCACCTACGAACATGCGCGCTTCTCTACGCGGGCTATTTCGAACGCCCAATTTCGCGAATTGATGCATTTGTTTGCTGCGATACTGCGCGGCATGCGACCGCTAGATCCGGCAGTCCTCGGTCCCTTGGACGAGCCCAGCGAAGGCTCAGAAAGCGACATCGACAATGATGCGCCCATGGCCACAAATCCTACCACTCCACGCAGCTTATCCCGGTCTGCGACACAGAGCACACAAGGCTCTTATACTAGGAGAGCGCCGACCGTCAACGCGCGCAACTCCTCTGCAAATACGTGGGCTCAATATCGCACCGCGCCGGCTACCCCGCTGGGTACATTAAGAGGAGCCATATCGAGATCCTCCAGCATGAATAGCTTCGCCCAGACTCGGCCGGCGTATGGTCCGAATCATTCGTCATCTAGTGTCAGTTTGCGGTCGAGGGCATCAGGAAGTTCCGCTTCGGGCTCCGTCATTAGACTCGCGACGCGGACGGACTCGACTGATCTGCCCTACATCCTCTCTCTGCGGGAGACCAGGGCCTCGTGAGCTGGACCGACACAAAATATTAACGACTGAATGACTATGGGCACTGCATGATATCCACGGCGTTTTGGTGTGAAGGGGGGCTCAAAGGGCCGGCTCAATTTCTTTGTTGTATTATCTAATGTTAATCGCATGCATATAACTTTACTCTGTTCCTTTGAAGAGGTCCCACCACCCAAAGCAATGTTCCACCATGCGTCAGCCAATGAACGTTGTTCTCCAACCCGTGACATCTGCACCTCGATCTGACGTCGTGTAGATCGATTCGCATGCAGGTATTTCGAAGTCGGCGGGGTTCGGGAAGAGGTAGAGGCGCGCTTTGACAGGGTCGTCGCCTGTAGCAACCCGTGGTGGTGGCTTTTTGGGGGTTGAACTAGACTTTGGGTCTATCTTAGGTAGTGTGGGAAAATCTCCGAGGAATAGTAAGGTTTGATTCGAATTGAAGGGATCGAGATGGCGTGTACGCGAGGAAACGTATCGAATAGGAAAATAGAGAGATGAAAGGTCAATCTGGGAAGGTTCGAGGCGGGAGGGGAATGGCATCCGTTTAGTACTTCTTCCGTCTGCGAGGTGCTGCCGGGGCGCCTAACGGATGGTACTGGGGTGGGAATGTGTAAGGCAACCGACACACCCTGTCTGGCTGGCTGCAACCATTTGATGGGCTCGCGCAGCGGCGCAGCCAATGGAATACCGCGACGTGGGAGGGACATCCAGATGTACGAAACTTGCTGCAAGTACCGATCATACTGCAAGGTAGTGGTGTGGTACACATAAGCTTAGATGTGTCCGCGCCAGCTTTTGTGTGATGTGCACAAGGACTGTCACGAAACCTGCCTGCCACGAAACTTTCCCGCCCCGGTACCGTTGTCCAGTTATTTGGCTTTCCGGATCCGAAGCGACGGGGCCGAATAGTGCACGTGCTTTCGGGTAGGGTGGGCCTTCCCGGGGGCCAGGATCCGCCCAACCGGTGTAAGCAGGCGAGCCTTGCTCAAGACTCCTGGTCGGATCCGAGTGCAGGTTTGTGTTGTAGTTTGCAGTCTGATGGTTGGTCGAGGTCTGGTTGGCGCACCTGTCAGTTTTGTCTCTCTCATGTCAGAAGCATGTGCACGCACTTGGCGGGATGTTGTAGACAGGCGTGTTCTTCCGACACCCAAGACTTAGGGGTTATTCATGAATTCATCAATGCATTTCAGCCGTTGAGGTTTGACATGATGTCGTCAATCTTGCGGGCTGCTTCAGCACGGCGCCTGGCCATGGACTGATCGGCTGAGGTAGAGGCGTGAGAAAGCATGGTATTTGGGCCGTCGTTGTCACCGAGGAAAGACTGGATCCGGTGTTGTTGGAGTAGCTGGGCTTGTTGGACTTGAGCTCCAGTTGGGGGGGTGGGTGTATTCCTTGAAGAATGAGAACGTTAGCTTTGCTGAGGAGAGGAGACTGAAGATGTGATGGCGTTTGGGTAAGTAGGTGTATGAAGTCGGATAGGGCGGTTGATATACCCGTTGACAGTAGCTCGATTTGAGGCTGCGTACATGCTGACAATGTACTGAGGCAGTACTAAGGTACACGATGCTCTAGATATGGCAACAACGTATTGAGAAGGAAGGCCCCGTGGACAACAGCAGACGCAAAGACGATTGAAGCACGAAATCGCGATGTGTGAAGATGTGCGTTTCCGACGGAGTAAATTGTCGGGGACCTTCATCGTTCTTATGGAAGTTCGACAGTGACCCTAACTTGGTTGAAGATGAGAAAGATTTGAAACTGCGGCGGTCTACCATGCTTCGAGGCATCTTATGCTACGTCCTGTTCGAGATGTTGGAGTGCGGATGAGAGGTGAGAGGTAACCCTCTGCACCATGCATTAGCGCAATATGTACTTGTAGTATGTACTGTATTTTCTGGGCATCCGGGACCCATCACCCACTAAGGGGCGGGCACGAGTCGCACCTTTGGCCCACTTGGGGAACGTGGAGATGTGGTTGTGCTTGCTAGCGCGCGCGGTGGGTCGGGGGCGGGGAGGGGGTGCAGCAGTGTACGGATACTTATGGCTTCCCGCAACGCGGACGAGGAGCGGAGGTACCGGGTGACGGGCCTGGGGCTTGGACAAGTTGTGTTGGAGCTGGAAGGCCCCCGCAAGAAAGTGAGCGGGTTGTAGAGTCTCGGTCAGTGGTGATGTGCGGTTAGTGGAGAAGGGTCTGGAGTTGGGATCGGAGCCTGGGGAAGAAAACACCCGCCCGTCAGCCTTCAGGTCTGGACGCAACAGACAGGATTGCTTAGCATTTGCATCTTACCGTATCTTGCTGCACATGCTGCGTACACTGAGGCATTCATGAGCAGTAGAGATAGGCAGCTACCAGCAAGCGCCGCCACCCGACATGACCTTACACGCGATCACAATTTTGCGCGTTGACAGCCTGGCCAAAAGAGTTCAAGTACAGCCTTCACCTGCGTTCTATCAGCATTGAAATCACTACCTCGATGAGCTAAGCGTGGTTTTGAGCACAGTGTGATAACCTTGTCGCATACGTACCATGCCGGGTGGTTTCCTTTCCAAGCCCGATACATTTCCAGATGGTTGATTCCGCCAGAAAAGCCGGGGAAACAACCACCATCTGAGAGCATGCTAAGCGTAAAGTTCTGCAGATTCCGTGTTGCTATGAAATACATACTAGCGCTGAACGGAAATTTAAACGATCATGCAAACGTTGCCGTCCCCTACTAGGTCTGGTGCGACCATCTCAAGACTCGTGGAGTCTTCGTTGCACTGCGGTGTCTAGTTCGTATCGCCAGCATCCCCGTCAATGGCGCAGATGTGACGATCACAAAGCAAGTATGACCGATCCCCAGAAAACCCGACATCCACCTGACAGTAAGTCTTCTCAGAGGAGAAGCAGATGCCTATCAGATCATGTCCAACCTTCCTTAAAGTAGGGCAAGTCGCACGTTAACGTGCGGCACGTCGCGTTCGGGACTAAGAAACAACGAATCGAAGCCACAACGACCTGAGCGGTGCCAGGAGGAGGAGAGCTGGAGTCATACTGCGTAGACCAAGCCATCAAATGGGGCCAGCCGATTGAGCCTTTGGGGATGGGAGTCTCCGAAGATTAATTTCCTTACATCTGACTTGCATTGATTGGTCGTGATTGGCCAGAAATTTCCCCATGAACTTGGCACAGCAAGATGGAATAACCGCGTGCCCGGCCGTCCTTCTCGATTGTCACCTATGAACGTGCCTCAGTTGTCTCGAGTAGCTTACCTAAGGCAGCAGACACTGGAGCACTACGGAGTAGAAATAAGGTATCTCCTGCGCGAGTACCACCGTCTCACCCTGCATCTGAACCCGAGGGGGTTGTGGCCCAGTGTGGTAAAAGTCCAACCCCGGACGGAGTGGGACCCGGAACGGTGCGCGGCAGGGCCAGGGTCTCTTGGGACACCGAGTTTCCCGCATTCTGAGCGTCGATACCAGTTTCCGACTATGGGTACTTGGAGCGGATGGCGGTGGATTCTTTTATCTGCATCGCCATATGAGAATCTTGCGAGCTCATTTGTAGGTCACCCCTCGCACATTTACGGTTCAATCTTCGGAAGCGCGCTGGTTTACCCCCACAGCCAAAGCTTCAATAAATCATGACTCTCATTTCTCAACCTTTGAAACGACATTCTTTATCTTTTGAAGCTTGCGCTCATGATTCTCTTCGATTGAAACTCCTGGAGCACCCATAATATGAGGCAGCATCGGGTTGGGGCATTGATTGTCGTGTGCGAAAAGACAAAGTCGTTCTCTTTGAAGACTCAACATTTCTTCAGCGTCGGTGTATTTACGGCTCGATGGTGAATCGTCACTGCGTGACATCATATTAGCCTGGTTTATTCAGACAGTCTTGTACATAGCAGATACTACTAATGTAAATATAATTATGAAAATTGTTCTCACCCATGGACGATTGACTTGTTAGATTTGGGACCCATGGCAATTCGTACGCTGTGTAGTGCACAGTGACAGCGGTTGTCTTCGATTTCAATGAACGGGATTACGAGGAATCCCTGGTCAAATCAGAGAGTTTGAAATGAGTATGTACAAGAAGCCGACACATCTTGGACAGAGTACGTCGGGGAATCGAGATATTTGTATAGAGAAGCTAATAGTCGTTGGAAGACTCTGAGGGTTGTTCTCTGTGCAGTGGAACTTCTGGAGTCCGCGGCTCATGCTATGATGAGAGGCAAATGTATCGGATTGGCTGCTTCATCGACGTGGCGTGGAGGTGGCAGAATGGATAAATTGCGCCGACAGCCCAGGCTCTTACAAGGGGTGCCAGGGCCGAAATTCGACAAAACTACGGATTGCAACACACCTACTCTTAGAGACCAATCACTCGCCTAGTTACTACCCGCAGCACAGTAGTGCTGGACAAAAATGCCAAGCTAAAGTTACCGCCGTTATTCGGACGGGAGGGCCTGACGGTGCCAATCCACTGAATCTAGCGCAAGGTATTTACATCCGTCTACCTATGTAGGGGGACATAAAGAGGACCACTTCGGGGCTTTAGCAGCCTCAATCGTGTACTTACTCAAAGCGCTTCAAGTTGCCAGTGGGTAAAGACAGGGGTGTGTCTGAAGGACGGGGATGTCATTGCTCGGCCGCGTGTATGCAGTTAAACCTTTGTCCATCACCTGTCTTGCGGCATTGTGATGAGGATTAGCCAAGTATAGAAGCAGTCGGGCGCGTGTGCTCGATCCGAGCTGACGAAACCAACACCCCCAGATGTTGCGGGCTTCGGTTGAAGTAAACAACGTGCAAATGGGCCACATACGTAGAGGGTTTGCCTCTGTGTCAGATCAAGCTTATCTGAAATCAGATTGGACACAGTTCATGATCGTTCGCCAATAATTTCTATCTAGAGCAGCGATACTCACCAATCAACCTTCCAGCAAGCTTACGCCTAGGATCATGAACTACCTTAAGTGACGCAGACGGTATTTACTTGTCTCGCTAACCAAATCATTTCATAACACCGATGAAGGTATTCCGAAGACTATGGCCGCTGCAGTCCCTCCCCAGTTTTGGATAGGTAGGCAGCTACTCGCCGATGGTCCCTATCATACCTGGCAACTCCCGCTGCCTCACATCATTCACGATGCGCTCATTACTCATCAAATGAATCGGGGCTCTGTCTTCTACCCAGTATGCCGTCATGCTACTTGGTGTTTCCCTTGAGACACAGCCGCAAGGGCCTCAGATTGCCATCAGTGCTTACCTTACCTCGCATTATGCTCGACTTCTTCGTCGGAGAAAGGCGCAAAAGCCGGCGGATATAGACAGGTGTTTCGGGGCCCCTGGCACCTGAGTAGATTTGTGTGGTTTTGCGTTTCTATTGGCATCCAGCTCATCTCATCATTTCTGTTCAACTCAGTGCCGTCGCGAATGATAAACGATGTTATTGCCTGGACAGGTTCAAATGCCTTGCACTTTCGTGCTGCCTCATCGCCGACTTGCTAAATAGCTTGGGGTTAACATCCCATTGCCTGCAGTTTGACACATCCGAGTAGAGACCTAGATCGGACGGCATTGCGGTGCAAGCATGTATATAAATTTGAAGTACACGACCGGGAGATCGATCATATGAGACGAGGGATCGTATTATGCTAATGAAGGAACCAAGGATTTCTAGCCTGTTGGCCGCTAAACCACTACAATAAATAGGTACCTTAAGCAGGTACGTTTGCCGGCCACGTGCCTGCTAGGTACCTTCATAGGTAGGTAAGGCACTTTATGCCGGTGTACGTACGTGGTATGGCCCCCACTGGATCTCTGGGCTAGAGGGGTCACTTCCATTCCCACGTGGGTACCTGCCGCCTTATCGTCATGGAGCAGAGCGAAACCTTGGGTAAGGTGGTGGGGTGCCCTTGACCAAGCTCCTAGCTTCAGTGCCTTTCCCCAGGTACCTAAGTAATACCTTGACTTGGGTCCGGTTTCGCAAGACCTTTGTGCATCCCCAGGTTTTCCAGCCGTTTGGGACAAGTGCAACCAAGGTACAGTTCCATGTTTGAGCCCACATGCCTTGTCAACCAGCTGCTACGCCTCGGATAGTTGACATGTTGACATGTTGACAGTGAATGATGGGCGGCACCGATTCGACGACGACTGCCTAAGCATCAGAAACAAGCTTGCTTCAATCGGATGGGTATTGCAATCTCTGTAATCCATTCACTTTGGTGATGACATTAGCGATTCGGCCCACCCGTCGTAGCTGGGTACGTACCTATCCAGCATGATGGGTGCTCAAACATCAAGCAAGTACAAGATTGTTCGATTATTTTTCACTGCCCCATTTGGACCATTATCTCTTCGATATTCCGGTTTGTTTTAGCCTCATGTTCGGCCTTGGACTTTGCGGGCGAGGTCGTAACGAAGGGCAAAATCGTGTTCGGACCGTCGTCTTTGAGGAAAAACTCGAGTCGTGCTTCGTGCTGCATCTTGGTCTGACAGACTCGAGATCCATTGGGGGTTTCCGAGGTGTCTCTGCGAAATTCAGATCAATTTTGGCTTTCAGTAATGGGATGTATTCAGTTCTGATCAAGATATAACAGCAGGTGTAAAGATCTTTGTAAGTCATACCCATTCACAATGGCCCGAGTAGAAGTGCTGTCCATTGCAACGAGTTTTTGAATGACGAGCGCTTCTAAGGGTTCGCTACCTGCGCGTATATGCATGCGCTTGATGTACTCGAAAAGTCGTCTCTACCAAGATACTGCCCGATGGTGAGAAGTTTGGCGGTAAAGAAATTTGATGATCAAGGCATAGCTATTGTTAATGTTCGAGGTCTGGGGCTTCTTTATAAACCGATTTATCTTTCTGCGGTCGTGAGGACGAAACTAGAGAGCTAAACGTCCATTTTGCTACGAACCGAATTGGGCGGAGTCCTCGGTGGGTTTGGAACGTCGAAGATCCTTTGTGATGGACGGTTCGCGTTCACACCCCTGCTTCTTCCAAACTTCGCACCCTCCCAGCACTGTGTCCGTACAGGTAGTTGCCTCGCAAAGGCTTGCCCCCCTGTTAAATGATGTGGATCACGGCAAGGCGTCTAAGGTACCTATACCTCGAACTAAGCAGGTACGTATCATTCTTCATTAAGATCACTTAATCCGATATTTTTCCATGCCACTACTCCCTATCGCCGACTTCCTGAATTAATAGCCACAAATGGTTTGCCAGGCTTACGGTTGATGTAAAGCATGGGATACTATGAAGAACTCCAACGGCGCTCCAGCGGGTGTGGTTATCAACCAAAGCCAGGATGGGAAATGTGACTGTCCTCTGGCAACTGAACTTCAATAAATCCGCTTTGGCTCAAGTTGTCTATGACGATGAGCTCGATGCCAGGTCACACCTTTGCCTCAGAAATAGCTGTACTATGCGCCATGGCCACATCTACTGCTGTTCTTTCTACTCGCTCATTATGAAGTAAAGATGGTTGTCTAGCAGAGCATATGAAAATGAACTAGAGATCAACACTCATCTTGGATGCAATAGAAACAGTTCCAATTCTTTTGAGAGCCCTTTCGTGGCTATTAGCAACTTCCACAGCGTGTTATGAAAGAATTCATGAAGTATTCAAAATAGCTAAACATATTCATTACGACTTCCTACATAAAACAGCACCAGTCCAAAAAACTTGACCAAATGCTGCAAATCTAATTTTCTTAAAGGCTTCTGCAAGCTACTTATGGAAGCCTTTTCGAAAGCTGATACAAAATGCTCCGTCACCATATCCGCCACCGCCATCCTACATGTTTCGCCCAATCCCCATCCAAATCGAATTTGTATCATATGTATTTAGAAGCCCCGGTGCTTCCTCGGTCATTGTGCGTGATCGAATCACCTATTGAGAATGAGTTATCGGAGCTATCTTGTATGACTACAGGCGAAAGGCCACTCAAACAACCTCGAGATCTTTGAGGCCGGAGTCGGCATGTCGGAGACGGGCTGACGGTTTTGCTCCCAGGGACATCTGCGAGAATATAATACTTCTTCAACAGATAGCATTGGTGCACTTGACCGTCTCCTTCTAATAGGCGGTCTCGCTGTTCCTAAATCCTCAGGCACATTACCCTTCCGGTGGTTCGCGCGACAAGCACATAAGGCCACGAAGCTGAGCAACAAGCAGGCATTGTCCACGGCAAACACTGACTGGGGCAGTGCGGGGAGCAAATGGAGAAAGATAAGCAAAATTCCCGCTTTATTTTCGGTCTCAGAACTGACCACTCATGACGAGGTTCTTCCCACTCTGTGAGAATGGTGCTGTCATTTAACAGCCTCACTTGCATCGAGAACACATGCCACGTTGACCTTTTCAACTCTCCGGTGAGAGCTCCGGCGTATCATATCACTTTACCAACAGCGAGATTCATTTCCACGTCAGCGCCAGGTCATATGTTCTGCTCATATGTCCTGTTTTTCGGTAAAGGGGCTGCGGGAGGGTTGCGGCTTTTACTTGATAGCGACCGCCTCATCATAGGCAGGCAGTTGCCTGGGTTTTTCTAAAATGCCTACAGCAAAAAGGAGGGAAGTTGGGGTTACACAAGACAGAGCATTCTCACCGCTCGAATTTACAGCGCTTGCATTGGCCTATAGCTCCGACCCAGACAGCTTTACAGTCCGCCTCTCGCTTGGCGATGGGTTGCATGGTTCGCACTTTGAATGGTTCGCCAAAGCAGCCGGAATTTGGGGTCTTCATTGTCTCCCCTTCTTTTTTCCTCTTCTTACCTTAACTAACGGAACGACGGGTCAACTTCAAGGTCGGTTCGGCCACATTTAATAATCTCCCATCATTCACGGCACTTCCTTTGGGATCACTGACTTAGTAAATTCGGAAGAATCTGCAGTCAGCGAGAACCAAGGAGTCCGGATTCTGGTGTTTGCCTCCCTCCATCGAATAGGAGATTCCCGACTTTCGACATCGGTCTCGGCTCTTTGAGTGACAATCGTCAAAATTCTCATTAATTGAATATAATGAACCGGCAGTGACGCCTGCTTGTCGAGTACCTCTCAACATACAAGGGGTGGTTGGACAGTTCGAACAGCCTAAAACTCGATCTTAAACGACAGACTCGGCGGATTGAAGCGACGCCTTTACCATGGCATTCCCACGATCCTATTTCTTTTTCGCGCCCATCGACCATGACAAGCAGCGTCATTCCATGCCGTGTTGGGGTGATTCCGCGAACCAGTCAGATAGATTTCGGGAACAGCCGCCACTTCTGCGCTTCTGAAGTCGACCAAAGGCCGTCTAGGTACACGATCCAGAACGAGGCAACGGCAGCGCGAAGATCAGTTCAACAGATGTGGCATCTATCCGCTCACTTCTTTGATTCATTTGATTTGACAAGCTCGAGTCGAACCCACCGAAAGCTCCCCGTCAGGAAGCTCCCTGTCTGCGTGCTGTCATTGATACCACGGCTTCACTGTTTTGTATGCTTAGTGGGACAGGTTAAGGTCTCAAGCTATTATCATGCTCTGTGCCGGTAGCTTTTGGCCCCAGAACTTCTGCGACGGCCGAGATACCAAGCTGGATTCGCCTTATCGAAAATGTCGTGAAATTCGCTGCACTTGAGGACGTCTCGAGTCAGCTCGTAGGCTTAGCTTTGTGACTTCCTGTTGCTACCGGCTATCTCAGCTGATAGGTCAATTACCAAGATGTGTTAGAATGCAACCAACATAGTAACTACACGTTGTTGGCATACGGTCTTGTTAGAGTCAAATCTCCGGATGCTTCCAGCGTAACTAAAGCTAGACATATATGCGGTGACAGCCAATGTTATCACAAACTTCCCCACACACCGACTTCCCCGTACAATGACAAGAAAATGGTTTGTCTCGTGGAAGAACATCCTGTAAAACTCAAGCAGGAACAACGGGACTCGTCTGGTCGATCGCGGTCACAAGTTTTGAAACTACAACCAAAAAAGACTTTTTTGTTTGGTATGTTCTGATCTAATGAAGCTGAAGTAATGCCTCGTAATGTCTGAAGATCCGGGGAACGCTGCCCATGGTGAAAGAGGGACGCACCGGGATTTTGGCAAAGTCGTGTCCGTATGGGCCGGCTGGCTTACCCCACTATCACGGGAACCCCGAGTCCGGCTCCGGTGATGGCCCGCAAAATAGAGTGACAGAAGCCGTTTCGTCATGCCAAGGATACCAGCAATGATACAGCTAGTGAAACGAAACAAAGTTCATCTCTCTCAACTATTGGGCCGTCAGCGTGAAATAGAGGACAGATTCGCGGACACAGTCTTGCCTGAAATCTTTGTGCATTGATCGCCCCGTAGCTATCCCAAGGTATTGTAGCCGACCATATCACTGTCCCTATATGGGAGAATCTTTGACCATTGTGTGTAATGATTCCATTTCATCTCCCAGTTTCGTTCAAAGCCTGTCTAATAGCACATCTTCTCGCAACATATCGATGTTCGACCGATTCCGTTGGCTGCTGCAGCAGAAATAAGGGACCGTCCCGGTCAGCCAAGAACAAGAGTTTGCGCTCGTTCTGGAGGACCTTGGTCTCTTCTTTGCGTGCAGTTGTGTTGAATATATCTGAATCGCTAGAACAAAGTCAATCAACTCGATGTTACCTCGATAAAGACTGAAGCTGACGTTCCTAGGGAGGACCGTGGGACTTACGTACCCATTCGCGACACTTTGGTTAGATATAGTGTCCATAAGGCGCACTAGATGGCAGTTGTACTTGATTTGGTTCCAAGAAGAACGAAGGCATACCTTCAGGAAGTAATATCGTCTTTCGCAAGAAACTTGGTGCATTCTTCGTACTTTATACGAGGTATGTTAACCAAAGCGAGCCACAACTTCGTGGATTCGAGTTTTGTTAGTCAAATGAGAAACCAAGAAAGTTTGGTTTACAAGTCTAACATTAAGATCTCGGCATCTTTTGGTGGGAGTCGAATCAGGTGTAGTTGGCTGCATGCTCCTGGGACTTTGCGCCCGCAGAATTGCTCCCTTTCCCCCGCTCCACAAAGGTGCCTTGTGTCAAACGCCCGTCCGCTTTCAACGTCTCCCGCGATTGGTCTCCGGCATTACAAGCCAGCTGAGAGCCGCGAGGCGACTATGCACGAACTTCCTCTCAGTTGCTTCAGCGGCGAACACAAGACCCATGCGCTCATCAGATGGCTCGGAGCATCGGGTTTTCGAGAATACTTGGCTCTCAACCATACATGTTCATCTCAGTGACAAGGATTTTGACTACGGGCGCATCCCGGATAGTAGGTCGGTGGTATGACAAGGCACAACAAGATCTTGCAGATTCCAAGATATTTACGTAAAATGAAACCTATATGCGTTGGCTAATGGTCAAACTTGCCCGTTATTGTATGGGCGAGTTGCCTTCCTGGGTGATTTATGTACCGGTCGGAAAAAGCAAAAGAATTTAGAGCCATTCGGTTTGGGGCACTTGAGATTACGACTTTAGTGAGATATGGAGATAGCAAGAGGTAGATGGAGTGTACTCAACCTTTATCGGAAGCGGGTAGCCACCCGTCAACTCATCATCAGTTGATTAGCAAAGTAGGGTACTTGGCAGGAAACGCCGTGGTGTTCAAGGCGGAATGGAATGGAGGAGGAACTCTTATGGGATGTGTGGAGTTACCTGCCTCTCGCGCGCGAATACTTCATCGCACGCCAGGGGGGAAAGAAATTGAAGGATCAAGATGCATCGTTGCGGGCTACGAAATCTGCGCGCGTGCGGGCACATGGGGTGCTGCATCGTTGCGGGCGTTGAGGCGAGGTGCTGAAATTGAGGCTCACATCAATTCAGCTTCGGGGAACGATCTGGCCAGGCAAAGATCTACTGTCTAGAAAGGAGGCCGAGACATCCCCAAGGCTCGGTATTCGGCGGGATTTCTCACAAGGTCAATAGCTCCGCAGGAGAACTTGCCACTTAGCAAATCATCAATGCCTGGACACATCACCTGTCCCGGATTGCGGGCGTAGTTGCTCCCAGGCTCTACGATGGCTGGTATATGCGGCTGCAGATAATTGAGGTCACGGTCATGGCTCGTTGAAATGCCCGGTCAGATGAGAGGCATGAGTATTGAACGATTTTGGTGAGTCTTTCCTTCAGTGCAAGCGTGCCACGTATGCTCTTCTAAGAAGCACTGAGCTGATTCTCCTCTTCTTTGGCTTCAGGTTTCCGGCCCCAGACAGAGTATCTGATGGTTTCATTAGAAAAGTTCTTAGTTTCGTACGGGCTTGAGCACCGGCACTTACACATCGTAGTATGCATGAACGCCAATCTTCTTGTGTTCGTTTCTTACTTCGGCGCAGAAAACACTCGTTTCTTCTGGGCTCCAATCGAGGACGCGAGTGAAAACAGCCATGGATATGGCTTCGACACCCATCATGGTAGAAGCTTGACTCCACGAGCCCAAGTCCTTCAGTTTCTCATCCTTTGGCCAAGGGTTGAAGGGCCACTTCTCTCTTTTCTCCACAACATCGACAAACCCTGCGTCCTCAACCAGCTGCTTGAAGGTCGCGGCAATAGTGATCGGCCGTTGGATCTTGTCGGTCGCCTCCATAAGTAGCTTGGACCACTTCAAGGGCTTAAAGTCGTCCGGCATAGTGCCGTCGTCACATTTCAGAGGAAACATGTTGTCCTGTATCTCTATGTACCCGCCTGGTTCGAGATTGCTGCGATTATATCAACATGATGGCCAACCACAACATCTAGATTCCAAGATAACTTACTCGTAGGCTTTAGCTATCATATCAGGCCAACTAGCGAAGCTTGAGATCATGGATCGAAAGAAGATGAAGTCGAATTCCTCTGACCACGTCCATTCCTTCTCGATGTCATCGACTTCAAAACTGCAATTGGGCGGTACACTGCATAAAGTCAGTCAGAAGATGGTCTTGGCTTCAGGATCGGGAAAGTACTGACAAGCCAGGCTGTATTGGGCTCAAGTCCACGCCAATGACCTGTAGCTATTTTAGCCGGATTCTTCGATTCAGTTACACTGTAGTAGTAGCTCATACGGTAGCCTCAGGATGATCATCCGCTGCCATCAAGTTAGAAAGAGCCACAAAGCTTCGTAATGGTTTACTGACCATAATCCAGCGCCCAGACCCCTGTGCCAGTACCTATATCAAGAACTCTTCTGGCGCCATTTTTCTTGGGACAATTGCAAAGATTGTTGTCCCAAGTCGCCAACCATAGGTTGTGCGTCAAGTCTAAGCAAATGTTAACTTCACGTAATGACCTAGCAGAAGGTGGTGACTCTTACCTAATCGATCTTGTTCCCTCTAGGAAAAATCTTAAGTCAGCTACATTTCTTCACCACGCAACTCATAGGTCGGTACCTCATCATTAGGGAGAACGTATTCTGTGACAGGACGACAACTCGTTAGCCTCTTGGATTCCAGACATAGTGGAGGTTCTCTTACTCCCGTCGCTGAGCCGATGGTATGTGCGACCGTTTTCACGGCGATAGTCGAGGATACTAGACCGTACAGAGGCCAATGAGCTTTCAAATGACTACCGACGATTAGAATCAGTTTGTCCTCCTCCATCAAAAGGACTCAACTCACAGAACTGCTGTCTGAATTAGTGTCGTCGTCGTTGTGTGGGGTCTGGCAAATGTCAGTGTAAGTTACTTCATGCGCAGTTGCAATTGACATTTACCCCAGCTTCAGGCTGTGGCGTTTGGTCGGCCATCATGATACAGATAGTTTTCCAATAGCACAATCAACGTGGGAAGAGTGAAGGGTAACGGTTAAATATCTAGGAATGAGGGGAAACAGTCCCATTTAGTGTCTCCTTGTGTCATTCCTGAAGCAGAAGAGGACCCCTTGTTGGTTTCCCAATAACCATCCGCCACTCCCCGCTCTGAGGTCTGTTGGATCGAGTGAAATCATGTTTGTCACCTTTTGATTGGGTCAAATCGTTTGGATGAGCTCGCCTGCATATGCAAGGTGGTCAGGACCAGTGCGGAATTTACCCGGTTGACCAGAGTACTTCCAAGTTAGAATGCCAGATGCGTGACAGATCAGGATGCCGGTCAACAAGAGATGCATTATCTATTTGCCTAGGTATCATTTCTAACTTTCTTGTTCTCTTGGATATCTCTCTTATCTTCAAGATTAGTATCGCTTTCCTCAGAGAATATTCTTCGAAAGAAGAATATAATTTAGAACAGTAGAAGAATAATTGAAGAAGCTAGAGCGGCAAACCGTCATGCCATTCACTTGATTGCAAACAAGTTGCTAGATTCGATGGCCATTTCTGCGTGGCCGAGAATGTATTTGGCGCCCAGCCGTACGAATGAATGACATAGTGATCTTCCACTTCTCCCCTCTCTGTTACTATGGCATTTTCTACCATCGCTCTACTTAAGTGGGTTATCTCCAGCATACGCCACATACGTGGCATACTGGAAACGAGAAAGGCGAGGTAGACGTACCAGCGGCGGATTCTACTGTCACTCACTTTTCATGGAAAGGCCGAACGGAAGATATCATAATTTTACCATCGCACATTCCGAACACAAGCTTAGGAGTCCAAGTCTCGTTATTCCAAAGCATCCAATTGCCCTGAGAAGATCTCTCATCTACCTGAGAGTAGTTATTCCTACTACTTACTTGTGAAAGCTATATTCAGACAGCACTGACACCGGCAGGCCCCTCTTGAGACTCCTCCTGCTTCTCAGGCTTCCGGCCCCAAGTTGCATAACTAGAGGGCAAGTCAGTCAATATGTCTCACAAAAAGTAGGGATCTAGACTTACACGTCGAAGTAGGCGTGGACTTTTTGTTGCCTTAACTCTTCCCGAGCCCCGGCGCAGAATACCACCGTCTCCTCCCGCGACCATCCCAGAACGCGAGTAAACAGAGCAAGAGAGAGAGCTTCCAGGCTTTCCATGGTGATAGAACGGCACCACATGCCCAGCTCATGCTCCTTGGTCCCCCTCTCAGGCCAGGTTCCTATCGGCCAGATCTCCTTCCTCTCCTGCACATCCTCGAATCCAGCGTCCTCGAGCATCTTCTTGAACTTCGGAGCATCATTAAGCGGCTGCCCAATCAAATCAGTGCCCTCCATGATCAATTTCGACCACTGGTAGATAAGTGAATCTTCCGGCATAGTACCATCGGTGCAGAGTAAAGGAAAGACATTGTCCTGAATTTCCAAGTATCCGCCCGGTTCAAGATTTCTGTGTTCCCAGAGTATCAGTTCCATTCTGAAGCGGTATGGCCATGAAGTTTTTTGACTTACTCGAAGGCTTTGGCAACGAACTCTGCACGGTCCTTGAATGCAGCATTCATGGACCGAGAAAAGATGAAGTCAAATGCCTCTGACCAAGTCCACTCTTTCTCAACATCGTCGACCTCGAACTGACAGTTCGGCGGGACGCTATTTCGTCAGCACGCTAGCTTTCCGCCTGGCAGATCAGCGTTGACTAACAATTTAGGTTGTATAGGGCTTAGGTCAACGCCGAGGACCTGCGTTTTTTCGATTAGGTTCGCTCAAATCATGATTCGGTGCACGATGAGAGAGCTCACAAATGATTCCGGGTTATCATCCGCTTCAGTGGTTTAGCATAGTGACAAGCTGTCGCGGGTAACTCGGTGGACTTACCGTAGTCAAGAGCCCAAATACCAGTCCCGGTTCCAATGTCAAGAACTCTTTTGGCGCCAGTCTTCTTGGGACAATTGCATGGCTCACCATCGTAGGTCAACTTCCACAGGTGATGAGAGAAATCTGTCAATGGCAGTCAGTGCCACGGATGCTCCTTGAGAAGGGTTGGTGTTGAGACTTTACCCAGACGGTCCTGTTCTTGCTACTTTGTAGATTAGCATTGACCTCATTCTCACACATTATGGTAGTTATGACGTACTTCGTCGTTGGGAGCGAGGTAGCCTAGCACATAGCCTGTAAGTGATGGGTCAAGGATCAAAGCCGCAGAGATCTACTTACTACCATCGCTCACCCTATGGTATGTGCGGCCATTTTCTCTACGGTAGTCCAGAATGCTGGATCGTAAGGAAGCTGTCGATTCTTCAACAGACTATCGTCTGTGAGCCGGGAAATGTCATCCAAGAATCCAATTTGCTTACAGATCCACCTATGGATGAGGTGTCATCATCAGTCCTGTCATCCTATCGGTCGAATTAGCATGTTAATCCATCGAATCTTAACGTGGAGGGCGTTGCGCTCACCTCAGCGAGATTCTGCGCGTTTTCAGCCATGTTTCCTGTCAATTCCCGCCAAATTCTTCGGTATTGTCGAGTTGTAGTGTCAGGCTTGGAGTGTAGTTGGCAAGATTGAGGGGAAAGAAAGAAAGTCGAATGTTGCGTCGTGGCTGTTGGGACCGAGGTAGTATCCTTCTTTTGCACTTCCAACAACCAACAAACAGACCCGCTTGCAGGTGCTTCCAGATGCGTTATTCTACTCCGTGATTGGCCTGCACTGTCTTCGTCAAATATCGTCTGCATATTGGCGAGCTGTTCGACAAGGGTCAAGAAAGCGAGTCCCATAACACATGGGGTTAGATTCAGTTGACCTTATCCCAGCTGGTAGGTGCGATGTCCTTCCCTCTGCAGAAACATCAATCAATTCAAAATACTCTTTCAAAGCTCCCAAAGGCTTATGCAGCTCCATTATGGCTCTTTTCACTGGTTGAAATATCGCAATATTTGGACTTCAACAGCTGTCTACCTACAATCCACAGCGACTAAGATTGGAGACTGCCTTGGTTTTGAACGAACTCTAGATGGTATTATGAAGTAAGAAGCACGATGTGCCATGTCATGTCTAACTAGGTAGTCTCTGGTCTTGCTTTCTTCTGAGGCTTCCGTCCCCAGGCAGCGTACCTAATTAAAGCAGTTAGCTAACCAGAACTATACGGGCCAATGTCAGTCGGAGACTACTTACGCATTGAAGTAGCCGTGAACCCTTTGGTGAATCAATTCCTCTCTAACCCCTGCACAGAACACCAGAACCTGCACTCGACTCCAGCCAAGCACGCGTGTGAACAAGGCCATGCAAATCGGCTCAAGGCTTTCCAAGGTACCCTCTCTACAGCAGATTCCCAGTTCTCTCTGTTTCAAATCTTTTTGCTGCCATGGACTAATTGGCCATTTCTCTTGTCGCCCCTGGACATCCTCAAACCCGGCATCCTCGAGCAACTGCTTGAAGGTAGGCGCCACAGTCATTGACTTCCCCACAATGTTCGTGGCTTCAATAACGAGCTGAGTCCACTTCAGGACTTGGGAGTCTGCAGGCATGGAACCATCATCACAGAAGATGGGAAACTCGTTGTCTTGGATCTCGAGATACCCTCCCGGTTCCAGGTTGCTTAGAATTGTCGTAAGCTAAAGCAGAATCCCACGCATGCCCTAGGGCGGAGCACTTACTCGTAGGCTTGCTTGATGGTGTCGGACCAGCTTTTGAAACTTCCAACCATTGATCTGATCATTATGAAGTCGAAGAGCTCTGTCCAAGTCCATTCTTCCTCAAGATCATCGATTTCAAAGCGGCAATTGACCGGAACGCTTTGAAGAACGGTCAAAATATGGCTCCCTTCACGCCGCTAACGAAGAATTACTCACTAGATGGGTTGGATAGGGCTTAGATCAACACCGATAACCTGGCTTGCCTCGTCAATGGAATTTCGTGCTTCGGAAAACAGTTCCTCTGACATACTCTTGCTTCGGGGTGAGCTTCCGCTGTTAAACCGTTAGCGATGACCTTGAAACCCGTGTCAAGTTATTCTCAAGCCATCCCACCTACCATAATCAAGGGCCCAGATGCCCGTCCCAGTTCCAACATCCAAGACTCGCCTGGCGCCCTCGACTTTGGGGCAATTACATAGCTTCCCATCCCAAGTAATTATCCACAAATGGTTGGCGAAATCTAAAATCGGCTGTTGGATTGCGTGTCCAAGATCTAGGAAGCAGACTGACACGTACCTAAACGGTCCTGTTCCGTCTGCGTTGGGCATTTCAAGTAAGTCAGGACGACTCCTCGAGATACGAAAGATACCTCACCTCATCGTTAGGAAGATAGTACTCTGTTCGATGGTCTCAGTAAATACTTTTCAGAGCTAACGATCGCGACAAACCTACTCCCATCACTGACCCTGTGATACGTGCGTCCATTTTCCTTCCGATAATCAAGGATACTCGATCGCAAAGAAAAAAGGGAATCATGGATAGACTGTTTGCTATCAACATTGCGGAAGCTAACTATCTTTGCGTGAGATACTAACATTGCCACTTGTAGTTGAGGCGCCGTCGTTGTCTCGAGGATTCTGTCTACCATTTTAGCACGGATCATGTATTCGAACTTCTGTCAAGGCTGGAATCGTACATATTCCGGAACACTGTCTCTATTTTCGGCCATAGTTTGCTTAGAGATTGCGCAGTCTGCATGTATCGGCCCGAACAAGAGAACGGCTTTAAGAGGGCACACTGGATCAAGATTGAGGGGAAAGACGGGGTTAAATGCTATTTCCTGGGCGAAGCTGTTGGCAGCGAGGCGACCCCCGTTGTGTATCCACAAGAAGGTGTTCGTACGGCGCAAGCGCCAGCAACTCCACTCGTTGGTTTCTCGGATTTCGTTCGGATCGAATGATTGGGCTGAATCTCGTTGGTCAACTCATTTGTGTGTGCACCGACTTGCATGGTCGGTCTCTGAACCTAATCTGGCCAGAACGGCGGAAATGCAGGGGTCCTTTGGGAAAACATAGTTGGCGACAAACAAAGCGGTATGGATTTGTTCGAGGTCTATGCTAATTACCCGATTCGAGAAGTAATTGAACCCATGAAGAGAGTGCATGCGCACTAAAGCCCCTCTACCCTTCGAGATGCAGCCCCCTATCTGTTCACTATTACAAATATCACGGACGAAGATGTGTCTATCGGATGTCACGGCCCTAAGGTAAGAAGGGGACTTGAAATTAGGATCGATCGGAGACTAGAACAGCCCAAAGCCTCAACTCTTCTCGGATGAGACCTTCCCTCATGTCTTCATGCCTATATAGATCTTTACACTGATGCCACGGTGCAGATCTACCTGCAGTTCGCGTCTCTCCTAACTCCGAGAAAAGATGTTTCTTGCTTCTTCAACGTCAAATGCGTGAGCAAAGATCTAGGTGAAATATTTTGTATGGAGTTACCCAAAGCTTTCCGCTTTAGCACTCGTATGGTAGTCCAACTTCAGCAACTCCCGTAGTGAACTCCAGTAGAGCTAGTCTTATTGGTTGGTGAGTCCGTTGAATCGTCTGACTTGTGTTTCGTAAAGCTCTGCTGGAAGGTTTTGATGGCTCTAGTTGCTCGGCTTCTGTGGTGATCGATGGCAGACTTCAAGTCCCGAGGGTTGTGGGAAAGAGGCACGAGGGTGTTGCCGTCTTGGAGATGTTCCTGCTGAAACCGAGCCAGTTGGGATTGTCGAGGTATGTGTTTATCAACAGGGTTGATCCGAGGAACAGTTGAATCACTGGGTTTAGAGAAAGGTTAACACCGTCTTCTCAATGGCGAGAAAGAGCTTCAACTTACATCCCATGATCAGGACTAGAACCAGGAGAAGACATGGCCGCGACTCACAGCAACGAATGAGATTCCTCAATGAAGTTATTACATCGAAGCTCGGTGGTCTCGACTTGCTGGAACAAAATCCTCTACGATACTGGCGAGGGGAGGGTCTTATACAAGATCAAAACCTTGGCCGAGTGCGGCTGGGAAGACTGTATATAACGGCAGTCATTTCAAGGTGAACAGGTTTGGGACGGACATGAGGTACTGGCGAACTGCCAATGATGCTCTCGAAGCCAAATCAACTTGAGCAAGAGCTATTGAGTTTGACACAGGAAGAATAACACAATGGTCCGCCGGTGACCCGCGGCCGTTCGCACATGGACTTGATTTAACCGCCATCCCACCGTCACCGGTGATTTGCCCCAGAGTGGAGATGACCAACTTCGCATACTGCTTCACACCCCCTCGTCGTGCCGGATTCAACCTGGCTTGCTCCTCCTAAGGCTACGGGCCGTTACACCCACTTCCAGCGTCCCAGAAACCCGGTGCGTGGCAAGTCGGGAGGCTGTCTAGGCCCTTCATGGTATCGTCTCCGTTCATGAATCCCTCAGGTAGTCTTCTTTCATCCTTCGAGAACATGCAAGGACACTCGACACCTTCCTCAAGGAGAAGCTCGTGTGTCGACTTGGGAAGATTACTCTTGGACCCCGGAAGAATACTGGTCACATACTGCCCAGCATGCATGGTATAAGCCACGACGATCTTGAGGGATAATCTCGTAGTCTCCACCACATGGTTCTCGGAGGTCTCCAAGGCGCTAATAACACGGCACCGGCATTCAATGAGACGTTGCACATGTTTCTTGTCGGGGAAATGAGGTCCCTGCCGGCGTTTGAGGTCGGGGACACTGCGGAAAGTCCGTTACTGTCTCCGGAGTGATTGTGGCTGGTGTTCTGCAGCTAACAAATCCAAGGGCTTCAATGGAAGCTTCATCGTGCATGCTGTGGCTAGTGCTTCTGGCTGGTTGGCTGGGATGGTGATCGAAGGCAGAAACGACAGGCAACCAGCCACAAGTTCGGCCATGTGGTGTCCCTGTATTCTGATTTGCTGGAATGCGAGCAATAGGTGATGGTTGCTGAGCCGCTCACCATGCTGCACTGATTCGGCCCTGGAGAGGTAGGGATACATCGCGTTATGAGGGACATTTCTGCCACCACCCTGGTTTATCGCTCTTTTCTCGGTGCTACATTGGCTAATGTTACACGAGGATGCTGAACAGTCACCTGGCAGCTTGTTTGAAGATTGAAGGAATGGCAGATCAAGTTGCAGTATTCAATTTAGGCCGAGGTCGCGAGGCTCCAACTGCCACGCCTCTGTGGTAAGCAGCTATTCGATCTCCAATTCTTTCCCAATTCTTATCAAGAGCCTACATACCTTACCCTGGTATGTTTCGAAAACGCCAGTGTGACTGATACACGGTTGGATGGCGGCGGCCGGCGGCGGCGAACAAAGAACTTCTCAGCCACACTCAACTCCCGCCAATTGAATATACGCTTGGGCTCTAGCCACCGAGGCTGACTCTGTGAGGAATTCGGATTCTGGGCTATTCAATGGATATGATGCCTGTAAAACCTGAAGATTTGCCATATTTCTCACGGCTATGCGGCATGATGGCCGCCGGTGTGGGAAACGAGGTGGTGTCCGCGATGTGATGTGAAGTCGGAAGAAACGTCCACAATTAAGTTCCAGGTGTCTTAGGGGACCCCAGTCATGGTCCGCGGGGAGGTCTCGGGCGATGCCGCCTTGTGGCAGGTGTTGCAGGTACACCAAATGGCTCGTGCAGCCAATGGAGCTCCCCTGTTCCCAGCAAGTCCCAACGCCATCTTCGCCTGTACAACTCCCCTGCCTCTCGTTGACCACCTTGCCTGAATAGGACGGTTCCCCGCGAGATGTATCTGACAGCAGGCATCTATTCACGAATGGCCTCATCAGGCACACCATGATGGGATATGTCAGTCAAAATATCGACTAGGTGACGACCGTGTGCCTTTTGAAGGGGGCATAACAAGCTAGCAAGATGCTTGAGGAAGTAATGCCGCTGTATGAACCCCTCGATGCTGGCAAGTCAGAAATCAGGCTTCTCGAATATGTCAGCTTCTCTGGTCAGCCGTCCCTGAGACTCAGTTCGGTATCTCTCGACGAAAAGCCTGTATACACAGCCCTATCATACGTCTGGGGAGATGCTTCCATCACTGAGTCAATCCTTTTGAACGACCAGGAGTTTCAAGCAACCAAAAACCTCTTCCACGCTCTTCAGCATCTCCAAGATCATTGGATAGACACGTTTCCTGGCCGACATCCACAAGGCTTCAGACTCTGGGTGGATGCCCTTTGCATCAACCAACAAGATGTCGCGGAACGAAATCAGCAAGTGCAACTGATGCGGCGAGTTTACGCGAGTGCCGAGCTCGCGTTCTCGTGGCTCGGAACGGATACCGAGGAGATTGGCGCAGCATTTGAAACGATCAACCTGGTGGCTCACGAAATGGACAAAGTCGTAGGACGACGCCACATTGGAGGAGTTGAGCCGCACGAACTGATCAGCTGGATGAAAGATTGGCCACAGCTCATCTTGGCTGATATAGGACCTGAAAACGACTGGCATTCCAATCAGTCGTGGAAGAGCGTTCGGTCTCTTTTCATCCTACCTTACTGGTTTCGCGTATGGGTAGTTCAAGAGATTGTCCTCGCAGAGAACCTGGTTTTGTTGTCTGGGAAGTCTTCTGTTGACTGGATAGCGCTTTTCCTCACATGCAGTTGGATTGGAAGGTTGAAAGAGATCCGGAGCTACTTGCAGAAGCCTTCGTGGATGGTTGATTCTGCCTGGCTCAGCATCACGTCGTCCGATAGGGTGCCATGGCACAATCCCATGCGACTCATGAAGGCGAAGCACCTACACAAACGACCAGAAACGCTGAGTGCAGACGAGTGGGAGAGCTGGGGCTGGCAATTGATGAGCTGGAACCACACCCTCTCCGCCACCGACCCCAAGGATAATATCTATGGCTTGCTTGGTCTCACAAATTTACCCCTGATTCCCGACTACAGCCCGGACGTCTCGGTTGCTTCGGTATATGTCGAGTACTTTGCTCAGAATCTTGCATACTGGAAACGAACAGGACGAGGCAAAGAGCTTGAACTTCTTCCAATGGCTGGCCTACACATGACCATGGGGGCGACTCAACCACTGGTCACCCCAGACCTCCCGACGTGGGTTCCGAACTACCCACACGCATGGATTGAATCAAATAGGTTGTTTGAGCCGATCATAGGAGACGCTGATAACGGAGTTTTCGGGTCAAATGTCCTAGATGCGAACATCTCGGGCGAAAGACACTTACTAGTGTCCGGCATTCGTATCGGCAAGGTACTTCGCAACCTACCGAAGCCAACATTATTCGATACTGAGAACAAGCTTGTCAAACTCACCGAACAACTGATAACTAGTAATAATCAGTTTTCCAATGGTATGACTGCGCAGGAGGCCGTATTTCGCGCGGTGTTCGAATCAGGCGGTCGTGGTGAAGCTGTTCTCTTTCGGTATTCCGAAGCCCGAGCTGAGATGGCTCTCGGCTTCTTGTTTCATTTGATGTACATCGATCGAGAATTCGCAGATGAACCTTTAGGACAGCGCCTATTCGAACTACTAGGCCTCGACGATAGCAGCAGTGAGGCGTTCAATAGTAGCCTCTCGAAAGCATTTATTTCTGGCCATGAAATCGAGGGCCCATGGCTGGAAAGGCTCGCAGAGTGGAATCTAGAGAATGGCCTTTCACCTGAGGTTCACGACCAGGTGAAGCCGGGTGTGAGCGCCTGGGACTGGCGTGATCGCGGGATGTTGCAGATAGGAGGAGCCGGGGGTAACTACATTGGCGTTTCCCGACAAAACATGGCTGAAGCTGGGGATGTCGTATGTGTACTGAAAGGGTCTTCGGTGCCTGTCATCTTGAGAAAGACCGAAGGCGAAGCGACTTGGAGCCTGGTTGGCACGTGTTGGGTAGCCGGGATGATGTATGGTGAGGTGAAGACTAAGCTTGATGACGCTTCCGTGAGTGTGGAGAGATTTGAATTACGTTGATCAGGGATCTCAGCAACATCAAGACGCCAGACATGAGAGGCCACAATCATCATGTAATCGCTCAATTCTCTTGAAATACGCTTAAGACACTTTGCGGAATAGTTTGCGCAAAGACTTGCCCCCGATCCATCGCTCGTGCCATCATATGGTTGACACCTACTTTCCCCAAATCATGTAAAGCTTTAACTCCATCATCACTGACTAAAAGTTACATTATTGAGATGATTTAGCTCAAATAATTCCATTTAAATTGGACAAAATCAACATTAGTAGCTGCGGTAGTGCCTCATAGGTGAATCTTACTTCCACGAAGGCGGCTGGATGGTACTCTGTGCCATTGGTGCCTGAGTATTCCGTCCGCCCCTGGCCATTCATCCCAACGCCGTCATCGCCTCTGTGGCTCAACCCACAGCCTGCACCCTTCATGACTATTCGCGTTGGAGAGTCTGTCGGGGTGATGAGAGGGTGCACTTGGCAGAAAGTTTTGATTGTGTCTTCTCACACTGGCGCATACGACCTTGCCATTTAAAGTCTGTTGTTCGCCCGGGGCGTCGCACGTCAGTAACATATCTTGCTATTTTGCCATTCGCGTGCATTTTATTTTACCTATCTTACTAAGCGATATTATTTTGCCCGCGTGAATCTTTGTACCTCGAGTATCTCGATATTGAGGTTTCTTGGCGGTTCAATTCCCGTCGTGGGCACTTCTTTTTATAGCCGTTCTCACGTTCGCCGCGTAAAAATGTGCTTGGAATTCATGGTACAGACCGACCCCGTCTGAGTAAATAGCTAGAAAGGCCGTAAATCAAAGAGAAGAAAAAATCGTTAAGTAGAAAAAGTATTTCACCGATAAGGAATCGAACCAAAAACTTAGGTGTCAGGTCAATGGTCGAGGGGACTGAGATCCACACTCGGGTCTTCCCCCATGAACCCCTCGACCATTTCACCCGAATCACTTAAGTGACAGGAGTGAAGGAGGAAAGAACCAAGTACTCTCCGACCTCCAAAGATTCCGGTTTTCCCAGGACTGCTCTTGCATATAAAATGAGATTATTCGAGAGACCTGTTTATCGAAAGCAATGCCTCATGATATCGCAGAGTCCCTCGCGACAGTTCGAAAAGGCGTGCGATCTTGGGCCCTGAGAACCACCCTCCTTCGAGAAGATTCTCACCCTGGTAGTATGAGGGCCGTATCACTCTTAGGTCTTCAGGTTTCCCCCCCTTGGTTCTATGCAGGCCAGCCATATCCCGAGGTTGCCCTGGCACACTGGACACTGTCCGTACTCAGTTCCAACACACCACCATGATGCACGTTATCCCTAGGTTCTTAAATCCCCTTCAGCAATTAAATAATACTCAGAGATTCGTGAAGCTTGAAAAAGAAAATGACCGCTGTCTATGACTGCCTAATGGATTGGATCAAATGCACTCACATCCTCCGTGCCGGACCGTCCCCGTTCTCGGCCCGGACCCGGAGCGGGGCCGACGTCAACAAAATTACCCGCTCCTGCCCGTCACGCTGCAAAAGATCCTTCAACGTTCGATTTGTGGAGAAGGTTGCACCCACCGCCGCCCGCAGCAAAGAACACACCTCTTGCCCCCCCTGTTCGTTCGAATTTCCAGGCCCGCGCACCCGAAAATCCACGCTAAGATAAACGACGATAAGACGTCGAGCACGAGCCAACGAACTCCCCCAGTCCCCAAATTTTTTAGTCGTCCTTCCCGTCGCTTCTGCGCATCTTCTAGACGCCGATCGTCAACAGCCTCAACCTGTCGCAACGTCGAGATCGCCAACGCACTCGTGTGACCAAACCTTCGAGTCTTTGAAGCACCCCAAGACATACAGCAGCCACATCATAGAAAAATTCCATACATCTATACACATCAATTATACACAATGGCGCCAGCATCGCCGTCCGCCTCTACGGCAGCCCCCAAACTCCCCGCCTCGGCAGACTTCAACGCCCTCTACAACCGCATCTCCCTCGCCTCCGCAAAACAAGCAACCTTCCTCACCTCGATGCGCGCAAAATACCCCTCCCTAGCACGATCATCTTCCTCCTCCACACAAGCAACAACCTCCAGCAACGCCGCCACGCCAGGCACCTTTTCATCAATGTCGAAACCCACCTCCTCAACCGAGACCACAACCACAGCCACCTCAACAACCAGCCGCCCCCGAGCTCCCGCCGACGACGCGGACCTCCGCTTCGAAAACCCAAACACGGGCCTCGGCTTCGCGACCTCCAAAGCGGACCAGACCACCTCCGCCGCAACGCGGGACCTAAGCCGCCGCCTCCTCGGCAACAAACGCGGAGGAGGTCGCGCCGCAGACGACCCGAAAGCCCTCGCCGCCGCGGCGCTCAAGAAGCGCAGGCTACAAGACGACGAGAGCGACGAGGAGGAAGGGAGAGGTAGCTGGGGCAAGAGCAAGAAGAAGAAGACCAAAGTCCATCAGGAGGAGGGGGAGTCTGCCGGACCCGAGGCGCTCGTACACCCGGCGGCACGGGAACGGGGCGATGTCGAGATGCGCGAGGGCGGATTGGACGACACGGAAGATCAAATACACGACAATGGCCAAGACAGCAAAGAGGATGCTCCGATCGCTAGTCCGATCCAGCCGGAAATAGCGGCGATGGACCCCGCCGAGGGGGATGAGGCCGATAAGCGACCCGAGACAGACGAAGCCACCAAGGAACGGAAAAGGAATAAGAAGAAGCGGAACAAGGAGAACAAGAAAAACAAGATGGCAGCGGCCGCTGCCGCTGGAGGAGAAGGTAGCGTCGGAGCCGCTCAAAAGATATCAGTGGCCTAGGGGAAATCATAGTTCCGCACATGACGAGTGCAGACTGCGGATCAGCGACACACTGCGACTCCCTTGGCCCGAGATGCCGGGACATCATCTCGCCAAGACCGCCGCCCTCATCCCTTGAGACCCTCTGGGAATTGCATGTGCGGTAGGCACCAGCGACAAGTCTCGGAAACTGTCGAATCACACAACTGCCGCGGATTGGCTGGCTGTCACAATATTGGTCATTGCATCTTCGCATTAGATCTAGCCAAGACTTGTTGAGCATGTGCCATCAGGCCATTTACAAGCCACACACTGCTGCTATTCCTGACCAAATACCTCAATATTCAGATGTGAACATGTTATTTTTTGAATGATTATCCATTTCCTCTCGCATCCCAAATGCAGATGTCGCAAATTACACCCCGATATGGACAGCTTTGGACAAATCTTGACAAACCTTGCCGCCTGACGTCCCTTGGGTATCCCGTCTCCTGAGCTCCGACCGCAAACACACAGCCTCCATCCGAGAGTGAATAATGTGAAATGAGATATGGGATCCGCACTTGTTCTGTTCGATGAGACGCCATTGTGACGCTGAATTACTAGAGTTGCTAGTTTATAGTATGTTGTTGCTTCACGCAGTTCGGCCGTGATGCAGTAAATAACACATGGTTGATATCAATGTTGAACTTTTTGACGATTGAGAAATCCGGTTGTAAGTCGAGATTACCGTCGGTGAATCGTATTATGTAGTGACCGTTGGCTTCGTGTGTGTTTCGGGTCTTGATCCTGGAATTTTTGGTTGTAGATATGCATCTGTGCAGATCGTGTACTGATCCGAGTATGGTCCCCCTTTCTTCTATACAAGGAAAGGAATATTTCCAGGAAATCGTCGGATAGATGTGTCTATCTGATATAGAAATGTACGGGCACGCGTACGAGGAGTGTGCCATGCATAAGGATCCAACGGACGACCCTGAAGGAGGCAATTGCTTTGCTCACTGCATACGCTTGCGCTTCCGATCATCGTCGCCTCGGGGATCCTCATCCTCGTCGTCTCGTTCAGCCGTGTCAGTCGGGTTGAGGATATGCGCCATACTTCCGCGACGCGTGGGTGGTCCTGAATGATCTCTGATGGCCAAATTCTTGTTGTCCCGGTTGGCCGAGTTCCACGACCAGTTGCCAAAGGTATCCCCACCACCACCATTCGAGAAGGGTGCGCCAGGAGGTGTGGTCGGTCGCGATAGAGGCCGTACTTGGGTCGCGTTTTGCAGTGAGTAGGTGGACAGCGACTCCCTTAGGCGCTGGTCCTCCGGCGCGAGTCGGCTGGGCGAAGATGGCCAAGGTCCGGAAGGCGGTCCTGATGGAGGCCCTGAAGCAAACGGCGGCGGCGGGGCACTGGGCTGCCACCCGTGTGCCCGTATATCAGCCGATGTGTGACGTCTTGCTAGACTTCCAGGAGGCGGCTCAACCTGAGCCAAGGGATGCGGCCCCGGAGGAGGCGGAGGCGGCGCCCCCCGCAAGGGAGAAGAGGCCTGTGGCACTGAACCACCGCCAACCGAACCACCACCAATCGAGCCATAGGGTCTTCGCGTGCTGATCGAGAGATTCGAAGGCACAGGAGGCCGGTAGAAATTCTGCCCTCTGGGCTGGGGAACAGCAAGATTCGCGTTTCGTCTTGGGTCATCCTGGGGTAACTGCCGCGGCGAAACCGGTGCATTCTCCACGTTGGTGAAGTATGCTCGGCTGCTTGAGAATGGCGATTCCTGGGGATCATCAATAGTTCGGAGCATCTCGGCCTGTCTTGCCATTTCCGATTGCAAATTGAGAACTGATTCGCGCAGTGTTAGCTGCCAGCTACGTGGACCACAAAAGATGCAACTCACCATCCCGGTGCACTGGGTTGTCGGGACTAGGGACGAGACTGAGCACCGTCCTAGACAACTCTTGGTTGAATTGGAGGAGCCGTGACATTGTTTCCATCACCGCTTGCTGCTTAATATGCATGTAATGGGCATTCTCTTCACTTCTCTGCAGTCGCATGCTCAGGTCGTACAGCGTATGCTCGAGCCCAGGCATACGCATTTCGGAGCCATCGCTCGGGGGAGGCATCGGTTCCGAAGGCGTTCCGGGCTGCGAAGGGCTGGGCTTTGAGTTGGGATACTCCCGGTGAACAAGAGCATGACGTGAAGCTCGCCGTTTGATTTCACGGAGTCCAACCAGGTCGCCTCGCTTGAAATTGCCGTTTCCATGTTTGAATTCCCACAAAGCGGTCTCGGGATTTGTCGTGTGGAAAACGTCGCTCACTGTTGCCTCAATTAGCATTGGACATTTTGTGGTCAAAGGAGATGCTATCGAACCTTTATGAAACCCGTACATGTTCAATTGTCTGACGAAAGAGGATATGTTGGTGTGTTTGAAATATTGTCTAGTCGATAGTGAGTAGGTGAAGGACATATTCGAAAGCGTGTTCACCTACGCTAGAACCTTGGAAAAGTCCGCGGACGGTGACATAACGAAGCTTTCAGCACTCGCTGACCATGATATCAGATGCTGTATGCTTGGGTCCTCCAGCATGCTGAACGGTGTTAGCTATACTGCTACTGAACATTGTTCTAGACTCCTGCTCACCTGTACAGCTTATGTATGAAAGCTGTCTGCACAATCTTTGGCTGGTGCACAGCCGCGGCCGCAGCTGCGGGCGCGGCGGGCATGGCGATCGAGTTGTTCGCAGATTGGTCTGTAGGCGAGGTGTGCTTGGATGCGCCGTTGGCATCCGTATCGTTGTGCTTGCTCGAAGGAGAGGTCGTGCTGGCGTTGTTGGAGGAAGTGATCTCCATAGGCTCACCGGGAGATGGAGCAGACATTTGGATGGTCGCGGTCGGGGTTGGGATAGGTACAATGCGATTCGGAATCAGATCGGCATGACCGTTAGCAGGCAGAGGAGCTCTCTGCGGACTCTCAGTCACTGTGGCCATCCCCTCTGTAAGACGCAAGAATCCGGTTAGCTCTAGAGACAAGGGCGCAATGAATTGCGAGGAGAACGCGGTTTTGGGAATGGCAGGGAAGACAGGAGAAAGAGTTGGAGCGGTATCGAGGCGGTCGCGGTGGGTTTGAGGAAATGGTTGAGGGGCTTGTCTCACCTCATGGCTTCGCAGAACGGTATAGGCGATGCGGGCGGGTTCTGCAGCGATGCGCGCAGAGGAAGACAATGGGATAGGTCTATCGCAGGAGGTATGGGGTTGGGGTGGCTATGTGGGATCGATTCTAGTGTCGAGTGGTGCCTTTGAGCCCTTTGGCAGCTTCACGAGAAGGCTTCCTTTGGCTAGGATTGGCGAGAAACGACAGCAATGTTGGTTGAAGCAGGCGAGCGCGAGTGGGTGAGCGGTTTGGGGATTGAAGCGTCCAGCCGTGGTTCGGTTCTGCTAGCAGCAGGTCTCTGTTCCAGCTGCCGACAGGCTTCCAACGTCGGGGGATTGCTAGGTAGAGGGATGGATCTGCTGGAATGCGTCCAGATTGGCAGAGTTGAAGAAAAAGGTTCGGGGTGTTCTTCTCGTCCAGATGGGTGGCGGAACTCTCAGCGAAATACCTAGGGATGCGGGATGCGGGATGCAAGAGAATGGAAGTGGAAGTGTCGAAGTTCTAGAGTTCGAAGAGAAGGAGAAGGGTTTCCGAAGGCCAGGGCCGCCGGAAATATGACGACGAATGAGGGACAAGGACGAGGGACTGGGGGTGGGTGGTGGTGCTGATGGTGGTGCTTGTGCTGCTGCTGGCGAAGGTTTAAAGTGGCTCGACTAGATCGATAGTCGGTTGGATCTGCGAGGACACAGGAAGAAAGAAGGCCTGATTAAGGAGAGCAAGTGCCACAAGAATTGCGGGATGGTGTAAGGTAGCGTGTACTCTAGACTGTGATTCAGCAGTCAGCTTCTGAGTGGCCCCGTTCTAATTGCGGCGTCGATGTGTCAGTCGGTTGGTAAACCCAATGCTTCAAGGTACCTTTTGTCGTGTTTGGGTCAAGGAGCAAGAGAGGGAGCAAGGACGGTAGATAGCCGAAGAAGCATGTGTGGGAGAAGGAGGAGGAGTGTGAGCGACGAGTCTCTATTGAGCCCAAGCACGGTAATAGTATCCGTAATGAGAGAGAGAGAGAGAGAAAAAAGGAGAAGGCGAAAGTAATAGAAATCGAAAAAAGGGATCTCAGGTATCCAATGTCAAATGGCCGAAAGTGGGAGAGAGAAGGAGGGAGGTGTGGCGCCCGTCCCACCAGCAGCACCAAGTGAGGATGTTCAGAATGTTCAGGTCGGGGAAAGTGTCGTTATTGATGGAAGCTTGCTGATTGGGCTGAAGGAGGGGGTGGGAGGGCATCCGCGGGCGTGTGAGATGGACGGCCATGCATGGGGCGGGCCCAAGTCGCTTTGCCTTGCAGCAGCAGCAGCAGCAGCAGCACCGAATTTTAGGGGTACGAAGTACCTAGGTACGAAGCACCAAGGAGAGGACGGGAGAGCTCCTACTCGGTCACTGAATTCTTCTTTCCCACCTTCACCTCGGGCAATCACACATTCCGGTACGTATAGTACCTTAGGTACCCAGGTATCTTACCTAGGTACCTCACTCAGATATGAGATATCTCACTCCAGGTCTCTCACTCACGCACAAATACATGGGACGTATTTGTACAAAGGTATACACGCGCGCTATCTTTGCCTATCTCTCTCTCATCTCACTCACACACGCATACACATGCTGCTGCACACAACAGGGCAGGTGGCACGGCAGGACAGACGATGTGGAATGGAAGATACCGTGGAAGCTCAGGAGAGAAGGGGGAAGGGGGTGTCCGGTCCCCGCCAGCTGAAAATGGGAATGGACAGGTGGGAAAGCAGGAAAAGGTCACATTCAATCCAATGGGTGGGTGGATCTGGCTGGAGGGGGGGTCGACGGTCGTCTTCTCCTCGCTGGGATCTCAAAGCGCACCCCCTCCCACAGGTAGGGAATTAGATGTGGGTGCAGATGCTGGGGTCCCTGGTGGCATTCTCCGGAACAGGGTCAAAGGAACAAGGTTAAGGCCGATGGATGAGCTGCCAGCCAGTTACTCAAAGTCTCAAAGGCTTCTTCTCCTGCATGTATCATCCCGTGCCTCTCAGTATGGGCGAATACAGCAGTATTGTATTCTTGCTCTGGTCAGTCTACGCACGTTGAAATGGATAGCGCCCGCCGGGATCCCGTACCGCTCAGAGTCAGATTTTGGCTCGTCTGTCTACGTAAGGTAAGGTCGTAAGGTAAAGAGGTATCTCTGCAGCTACAGTACCTACCTACGCCATGAATCTGAATCGAAGAGGCGTTGAAGCCCCGTCAAGATGAGATGAAATGCAAGTCCTGATGTCTGAACCCCTGACGAGACTCTTTCCAAAATGGGCCAAGTTTGCTTCTTCTTTGCCGGGTCTTTGCTATCATACAATTCAAATTCACGAAACGTCAAACATGATGATGAAGTACACTGGCAGGCAGGGAGGGAATTGCCATTTCCCCATCCTCCAGACAATAGCCCAGACGTTCGATCGGCGAAGCTCTTGACGCTCTTAGTCACAGTCATTTGCTGATGCCCACCAGTCTAGAGGAGCACAAAGAGCTTCAGCCGCACGATGCCCTGAGCATCAAAGAGGTACATGACACCAGATAGGCCATGTCTCTTACCACTGATGAGAATGAGAGTCCGCAACTGTGTCGTACAAACTTCGACGCCAGCCAGAGATATGGCAGAGAGAAAGGGCAACGAGTGACGTCGGATCAAGTACCCTGCGTCCAGTCTAGTCCGCGCCTATCTGTCCTTGGCTGCCGTTTCCTGCCCTGCTAGGTGTCCCATCGAGTACCTATGCATACAAATAGGGAGCACCACAAGGCTTCTCATATTCGACTCCATATCTCCAGGGTCTGGGCAGCACTCTCTGCATTGACAGCCGCATGACTGCAGGTCAACCACTACATGAGGTTGCAGGTGCTTTGGACATGAGGTTCGATTGACGGTTTGAGCCATGATGAGCGAGCTAAAGGTACACTACCTTGGGCGTACAAAAAACACGGCTCGGTCTCTGGAGCGCCCGCCCGTAAGGAACCCTAAGACCGCCGGATGTTGGACCGTCGACTCGACTGTGTTTTAGCAACACGTCTTTCACCCAGCCGCTGGTCGGAGCCGGCGTCATGGCATCAAGTGGATGGTCCTGGCGTACCTATCTGCCTACCTAGCTGCACGTCTGCTTCTCCCGTGCTTTGAAGCTCAAGACGCAACTCTCGACTTACAGTGGCCAAGACACCAGCCTGCGTCGGAAACATTACACCAAGAGGCGCCTACCAGACAATGTATTTCGTTATAGCAATTCTCTCTGATTTGTAAGTTTTGGATTTTTTTGCCAGCCAAGTAAGTAGAACCGTGCCTTTGGCAGCTAGCATTGGATGTAAGGAAGGGAAAAGTATTTGCATCTCCCGTACCAGTCAAGACAGACTCTACCTAGGCAGGTAGGTATCTTAGTGCTTCAGTCAAGTACCACCCATGGTAGCAAGCAAAAGAAGGTGAGGTAAGGTAGATGGAGATGCGTACCTGCCAACTTGATACCTAGGGGTAAGATGATATTGGGAAGGCTCAGCACAGGGCACCTTCTGACTGGCCTTGCTTTTCCTTGCCTCGTGTTCTTTTCCATTCGTTAAACAGACAGTCAGACACCACGGGGCTCGACTCTTCGTTGCATGTGGCCTCGATTTCTATTTGCGCATTCCATCTCCGGCCCTTTTTCTTTCCAGCTTCGTTTCTTCGCCGTTCTTTCTAACTCGATTGAATGCCATTTACAGGGCGTGGAGCTGAAGCTTGAGCGACCCTTTCACTCCTCCACATCTTGAACAAACGCATCTCAATTTCATCCACCGCCCTCCCTCTACCTCGTCGTTTTCTGGACCGAGCTCTTTTAATTTCAACCGCCTCCTCCAGTATCAGCCTGGACGTAGGCATAACCGATTCAACGTTTCTGTCAATTTCCTAGCATGTCGCCTTCGGATACACCATGATATGCACATCATGTAATATTTGTTCACCTTTTCCCGTACCCCCTGAGACCGTCCTCTCCACCCTAAAGTCCGTTTTTGCTTTCTTTTCCCGTCATTCGATCCCCAACTCCTCGTTTCTCTGACACGCTGTCTCAGTCGTGCAGCTCAAGATCTCTTCTCCAATCGCCCGGTCCAGGAAGCTACGAGATTGCCATCTGCGACAATCATAGCCTTTCAGCCAACCCCGTCTCCTCGATGCCTAGATGCGGCCGCGACCAGGAGGGGTGTGGGTGGGGAAGACACTATCCCAGCAAACCAAACCCATCTCCTGCTGAGAATGACATGCGATACCCAAACCTACAAGGCAGACCCCCAGCCTCGATAGCTTCTGGCCGGCTGCAGCTGGAGGGTCAGTATCAAGTTTCGATCGACCCAAACGAGAGGCTTCATTTTCTTCCCAGTCCTTACCACAACTACCACCCTTTAACCATCATCACCACCACCACCATTACACAGAACCAAACACTAAGGGCACGCCAGGACCCTACAAGCCGTGCAGGCTGGATCATGCTGCTACCGAGATGCTCTGTGCTTTCTTTCTGCTTCAACAGCTCCAGCTTAGCCTATCCGTTGCCCAACTAAAGCATCCGGTTCGTTGACTACATGTCACGTCTGTGTCCGTTCGACGGCAGGGAGACGACAAGCGAAACTGGCGGGACTCTTACCGAGCCAAAGGTCCCCAAGCTCCCCGTCCCAGGGCCTAGTCCCCCCGGGCACGAGCAGATGCTTTTACAACTGACAAGCCAGTCGGGAGCTGCGTTGCTTTCCCAGGAGTAGTGTTAAATCTCGATCAACCGTGGGCTTCGTCGACTATCCTGGAAGCCGACTGGCCAAGAGACTGTGCCTGGCTGTCTTCGCTTCGGGCCTGTGCTCTGTGGTACTGCGAACGGTCCAGTGTGTGGCATGTGGAGAGCTTGTCCTCATCAAATTGAGCACGCAAGTGCTTCAGAGCGGCTTTTGCGCAAGCCCTTTTGCTTCCTGTGTCTTACCGTGGCGTGATGATGGCCTCTGCCACTCACCCAATGAACCTTGCCTTCCCACCGCTCAAAGCAGGCCGTCATCTTAACCAAAGGTTCGAGCTAGCGGTGGTGCGGTGCTTGTGGCAGCTAACGCAGGACCACAACCAGCCCAGGAATTGCGGAAGACTCGAACCGGCCAGACGGTGCACTTCTGTTTCAACGGCGTCGCTTCTTCGCGATAATATCCACAATCCGCGCGAGACGGCTAGGGCAGACACGATCAAGCCATTCGCCTCCAAACGACCACCCTAGCAGAATGGCCGTGAGCTCAGTGCCTAGAGGCCCAGTTGACAATCGGGTCCGTCGATGCAGTACACACGCAATGATCACTCCGCGTCAAGGAGGAACGCACAGAGACCCATAGGTCAAAATACGATCTAGACAAGCACCGCATTGCTCTTGGCCGGAGGCTCTTGAGATGCTGATTACCTGCCGCAACAACCTTCATCACCAACGAAAAAACTCAACAGGTTGGGTCCATGTCGTCCACGGTGAATCGGAAGAGGCTATTGAAAGCGCAGATTCAAGATTTGATAATCAAGATTCAGCAGGCATGTGCCGCCCACTGTGCCGTACCCGAGGGACTTGACAACCACGAAAACCGTTTCGTTACTGCACTCCGTACACTGGTTAAGAGCTGAGACCAGAAGCGAGGAAGTCACTAACAAACAACCAGGGAGTTTCTTGTCTTCCATATGTAGTGCCTGCTGCCACGGGAGGCTAGGGCAATTTGATCTGCAACTACTCAACATCAAATGGCCCATCGTTCGTTGACGCCTCAACTCCAATCTCGAGCTGGCCAGTGTCAGTCCGAGGAAGTCGGCGTCTTAACGCCAAATTCTCCGCAGATTGTCCGATTTACTGCTCGCTGTTCACGCCTTCCCTCGCCTCTGGATATTACAGCAAACGATTTTTCGACAGGTGAAAAGGGGAGCTGGAGACCATGGACCGGGCCGACAAGGGCCCAGCCAGCCAGCCATACTCGACCGAGGGATAAAGCGTCGAGCAAAAGCCCTGAATTTCCCCTTCCAACCCCTGCCCCTGGTCCAAATCCAGACGACGACGTGTGCTTGTCACGTTTATTACCACAGAGAGGACTCGTCTAAGAAGCTCCTGCGAACAATGCGAAGCTATCATGTAGTCGTTGCATTCCAATGGGACAAGACTAGGGTGCTTCCGAACGTTGAGGAGAAATGTATGCAACCCCCTACCCCAGTCGCCCAGTCAGCATTGAGCACTGGAAGCAGTTTCTTCATGGCACGCATTTCGATCTCTGGATACAACTGGGTCGCCTTTTCCAGCGAAACTAGGCACAGTTACCGTCACATGCTCAAGATTGTCTTCAACCGTGCCTGGGACTATTTCCTCCGGCTCTCGCCTCGAAGCTTGCTATACTCTTCCGTTTTGAAAATAAGATGTCACGGCCATTCAGCTCTGTCTTGGCGCATCCTTTGAGCCTCGGGTGCCCTTAGCTGAACAAGGTTTAGGGGGTGATTTCCAGCGCAGAAACGTTGACCTCGTTACAAGTCGACATCCGCATCTGCAAACTCTTCCTACCTTAATCGCAAATGCGCCTGTGGATGGTGCCCTCCAGCGAGCGTCATATTCAGGTCATTCCGACGACGGACTGCTACTGCCGCACAACCGGTAAGTCTCTAATCCTTCCTGAGGGCTCTTTGCATCCACCTGAACCAGCTTTTTGACTTCTTTCCAAACGAACGAGTTTGTGGATGGCGGCCTGAGCGAACGAACTGCAGTCCCAACGTTTCAGCAGAACCGCTATCCGCCCAGCCTTGTGTGACTACTGGACACTTTGCTGGACTACGCACTCATTATGTCAGAATGGAAGCTGCTACAGGCAACTGTTAGATCGAGCACCTCAACGATGTCGATCCGACAGTGTTCTCGACCAGCACTGGCTCTCCTACTCCTTACACCACCACCTGTGACCTATGGCCCCGGCCCATCTCCATGGTCCGCTCTTGATGTAACGCGAGCCGGGTCCGGCGAACTCTCTCTGCGGTAAGCGTTCTTTCTGTCCGAAGAACGTTGAAGATGTAACGTCGACGCTCGTCTCACGGCGAATCGCCAAGCTTCTAGAAGTTTGACTCATACAATTGGCTTCCGGGAGCCCTTTGAGAATTGCCCAACCCAGAGCTCTGGTGTACCTTTCGTCTCATCTTCAAGTTACTGAGATTCTTCTTTAACAAGCAAATCGCTGCTGTCCACCTTTGCGTATCGCGTTGAAACCCAGAACGGACTAGTTCCAAGAGCCTGCTCTATACAGCATGGTGACTGGTTCCGTGGAACGACACATCCGAAGCCAAAGAAGAACCCCACGACCGAGATCTACCCCGTTCGACTCGAACTCTAATTTTTGCATTACCCTGTCGAATTCCGGGTATGGTTGTTCATCCTTCCGCCCCCTTGCCTAGTTTGCACCGGACAGATCCCGCGGGTAGCCTACGTCTAACTGCGGTATGGCCGTTCTGCAAATAAGACAGGGTAACATGTCGCAATCACGACAACATGCATGCAAGCAAACGGTGATGTCCCACAACGCGTCAATGGATGCGTAGCATGGTTTTTTCCTTCGTCTTCGTGGCCGAACATGACACCTAAGCCTCTAAAAACAACAGGCAATGGGACGGATACACCATTGTCCTCCAGGCTCTGGTCACCGTGTACCGGATTCGGGCCGCACCTTGCCGCCCATTCCGCTTTCCCTCCTCCACCGTCCCCGCGCACACGGGAACGAGGAGTGCTGCTGGGAACTCGGCACAGTGTTCCGAGAACGACCATGGCGTCTCGGTTGGACTGCCGAGAGAGAGAAACATGACACGAAGACGGCATGTCTTGGGACAACACATCTTTCAATCTTGAACTTAATCGAGAAGAAGTTGAGGTTGTGGTGGTGCGAATACTTCGACCAGGGTCCCGCAAGAAACCCTTACTTCCAGGACGAGGATGGAAATCCAAAACCCAACCAAGAGACACGTGGACGCCCTCTTGTTGTTTGTTCCAGTCGGTGCGTGTCGTAGTCGAGTCTTCGCTTTGGTCCATTTCGTCTTCGGATTTGCTGCTTTACTTTACACGGAGGAGTCTCGGATCCGGGGGGTTGAGTGTTTGGGCTTATGCACCCATCACGTCCGACATTATGCCGTTCGAGGCCGGGGACCCAGAGGCTCCTTCTAAGTTCTGGATGGGCACTCTCTGGAAGCACCTAGTGTCCAAAGAAGGGAGGGCGAACAATTCGACCCAAAGTCAAATATCGACACAACGTTCTAACCCTACACAGGAGAAAAAACATCAGCTCGGAAAGTCCGCGAGGACCGGTGCCATGGGTGCCGCCCTCGTACCTGTGCTCCAGAGAGTTCCACGTATGGGAGATGAACCGCGACACATCCTCATCAAAAACACACACACGAAAACGACGATACGGACAGATCTCCGCCTTTTCACAGTGATATCTTGCTCCCTTTGCGGAGAACACGACGTGCTTATTCCTCGTATTATTCATACCCTTCTATCCCGACTCCGTATTTTAGACATTTTACAAGGAACACGACATGGACGACGATGACTGCCGAAAAAGCAAAAAAGGAAAGAACCTCTATCCGTACGGATATCGCCTTTGTATTAGCTAGTCATTCATTTCACGTCTTCCGCAGGGGAAAAAGACAATCGCAGACCATCAAGTAGTCACTATCGTATCACCATCCAAACGCCTTTCCTTATACTGACGGGAAGGACCCATCCAAACAACCATGAAACCCAATTCCCGACATGGGGAGTGAGGGGGGTTAGCCCCCTTCCCGAGTATGTGCCCTTCCCGGAGCAACCATCCAAGCCATGGATGACCAAAAAAAAACGAAAAAGTCTAAAAGTCGCCATCGTCAACATCCATCCCGCTGACTCTCCGCTCTCCGATCTCGCGGATCTTGTCGCCCAGGATCGACCGTCCGTACCGCTCCGCAACCTTACCCGCCGCCTCAATCATACGGCCCGTCCGATCGCGCATCAGACCCACCAGCTCCAGCGCCCGCATGCCGCGCTCCTCGCCCTCGCGACACTCAATGGCCAGCATCTGCAGCAGCGTCTTGTCGAGCTCGAGCTCCAGCCGTGCAAGACCCGTCTTCTGGGAGTGCGTAGCGTCGGTGTGGTCAATGAGATCGCGCAGCTGGGCAGAGTGGATGCCGGAAATCAGGAGCTTCTGCTCCAGCTTGCGCGATTCGCGGCGGCCTTCATCCTCCTCATCGTCGCCGTTCGCTCCTTCCGCACCCTCCGAGTCCGGAGCGGGAGCCGGAGCGGAGGTTAGTGGCACGGAGAATTCAAACTCGGACAGCAGCGGCCGCGGGAAGTAGGGGTACTGGTCCCCGCCCTTGAGGATGATGCAGTGAAACTTCTTGTCGGCTACCGCAATTGGCCAGTAGGTTTCTGTCTTCCTTCCCGACGCTAAACGCGGGAGAAGCTTTGTGTCAAGGAGGGGCACCCAGCAGGCGCGCGAGGGCTTCCGCCAGTGAAGCAGGGTGAGCAGAGTGCCTGTCGAGTCATAAATGCAAGGATCCTGAGTCGGTGTACCCTGCCTGTCAGCGAAACTGCATCCCTATGTCCGACGAAAGGGAAGAAGGGGAGGAGGGGCGTGTAAACTTACGCCGACATCTGAGAAGAAGACGCTCTGCAACGTCGCGCCATCGGGTAGTGCGACGGTGTCTTCGTTTTGGCAGATTTCGTCCCGCTTGATGTTCTCGATCGTGTACAGGAGGCGAGCGTTGCCGTCTGCGCCGACGGGGCCGTTGCCCATCGTTATGACATAGTCACGCCAGCTGGCGCAAGTGACCATGGGTGTGCTCTTGGGCCGATAGACCCGGTACGGCACTCCAAAGAGGGTGAAGATACGCACATAGTTGGCGGTTGTGGTAACTGTGATGAAAGACTCGCTCAGCGACATGGCAACTACGGCCTCACCCTTGGGCAGCTCAGTCCGCCAGTCTGTCCGCTGCGTCCACGTCTCGTGTGGGCGGTAGAAGATGGTGGCGGGCGTGTTGTCTTGCGGTGGACACGAGAACAGAGCGCCGTGCTCTGTCAGGCAGGCCTTATCGTAGAGGAATGTGTCTGTGAAATGGAAGTCGCGGTGGAACTCGTGATCGTAGAACTCTACCGTCACGGTGTTGTGACCGTCCTGGTCGACCGTCCATATGACGCCAATCATATTCAGGCAAAGGTATTTGCGGTTTCCGCGCCAGGGAGTCGAGCCTGGTTGGAAGGCCTCGTGGAAGTTGAGCGCGAGCTGGCGGCGCTTGCTCGCGCGGTCGCCGTCGTCGCCGCCGGCATCGAGAGGCCTCTTTTGCCCCGTCGAGTAGCCCGCACCGTCATCGTCAACAACAAAGCCGTCTCCATCATCGTAGCCGTCCTCACCGTTGAGGAAGGAGTCAAGACTGCCCAGGGAATCGCGGCGAGGGCGGCTCGGGATCGCAGCCTTGCCGTTGGCATCTGGTCTCCTGGCGTTATTGGAGATCTCGGAGAGAGGATCGTGGATAAAAGGTGCAGGCTGGCGAGGCAGCTGCAGGAAGCTAGAGAACTGCTCCGTAATAAGGTTGGGGTAGATGTAGACCTCGCCGTCAGACGTTGTGAACGACAGCAGGTTGTCCTTGGGGTGCCATGTGATGTCAATGACGTTGCTGTAGTCAAACTTTTGAATCACGCTCTGTGTCTTTGTCTCCCAGATCAAGAGCTTCCCGTCCTTTCCTGCCGTCGCCAGCATCGCGCCGTTGGGCGACCACGCCACCGCGGTGACATCACCCAAATGCCCGTTGGCAAACGTCCGCTGCTTCTCCCAGTCGTTCTTGGACACGACCTGGACATCGTGCATGGGCGTAGGCACCGCAAAAGCCCGTCCGTCGGGATGCCACACAATTTTGGCCGAGTTCTCGGATTCGGGGTCGAGAGGTCCAATGATGCCGTCCACCTTGCGGATGAGCTCCGGCGTCTCTGCCGTCATGGAGTAGACGTAGATGACTCCATCTGTACACGCCAGCGCCAATAGCCCGCCCTTGGGATCAAAGGCCAAGTGCTTCGTCGGGCGCCCGTGGTCCTTGAGAACGCGGATGCGAGAGTTATCCTGGGTATCGACGACCTTGACCGTGAGCTCGTCGCTGGCGACGGCACACCACTTTGCGTCGGGGGATAGAGCGACGTCTCGAACTGGTAGGGAGGTGCGAGTGAGGAAGCGCTCGAAAGTAGTGTCCTCGACCGAGTAGACGCTGACGGTGCCGTCCTCTGAGCCGACCACGAAGAAGGCGTCAGATGCGGCAACGGCGCAGTTTTGCTCGGGGCAGTCGTCGATGTTGAAGGGCTCGCCATCGTGGTGGGTGCGATAGAGTCGGATCGTGTTGTTGGAGCCAACGGTGACGAGGCGGGCGCCTGAGGGAGTGTAGGCGAGACGGGTTGTTCCTGTGGTGTGCGCCGGCCTCGGCCGCGGTTTCGGGGCGAGGGAGGAGGCCATTTCGGGGTTGATGTGTGGGATGTGGTTTAGATCTTGTTCATGGGTATTTTTGAACTCTTACTGTCTCGGAGAGATCGGTGATTATGAGTGATAAGTGAAGCTGACCGTTTGAAGAGTCGTGGTATCGTCAATTGGGGTCTTGTGGTTGGAGATGAGTGTTTGAGAGAATCGATGTGGTGATGGTGGGACAGAGGCACTCTGAGAGGGACGCGTTTAGACGCGTCGCGAATTCAATTAAAGCAACTTTTTGACAGGCGCGGGACAGGGGTCGTTGATAGAACCCCGCCAGGTACGTACTTCTTCAGTCTGATCCTCTTCTTCAACCACTTGGTGACAGGTGGGGGGGCTGTCACTGCCTTCACAGAAATGCATCGCAGGCATCAGAATTGATGAGAAATGCAGCTTGTGAGTGAAAGTGGGCGATCCGAAGAGTTACCTAAATTAGGCATCAAAATTCCCAAAACCCATTTTTTGCCTTCTAACCGAATATTGTCTCTTTAACCAAGACTGAGCTGAGCTGCATTGTACGTATTTTGTCCTGCAGTTATTGAAAGGAAAGGTTCAAGGACTTGGGCGATCGTGAGAAATACCCCTCAACATGGAGTCAACCAACCAAGAGAACTTCTTCGAGACGGAGTAAGTATACGTTGAACGAGGCTACCAAGAGAATGACTGACAATTATGTAGCACGCAGCAAGAAAAGCGCCAGCAGCGTGCCAAGAAGGAGGGAAACACGTTTGGCAACCCGCTGCGCATGCCCTCCAAGCTCTTGGCCGTCATCAAGGATACCAAGTCCAATAACTCCGTCTTCGTCGCAGAATCTGGTGGAAGGGTATCTAAGGTGAACATCGAGGTAAGATTGTCACATACCTGCGGCATGAGTCTTGGGATTCTCGCCCCTGGCCTCTTTGATTCCATCCCATCAGAGTGCTGTAGTGAGATAGTGCCCATCTCGAAATCAGGGGCTCACCACATCACAGACACGAACCACCACAGCAAAGTACACCGGCCCCTCCGTCCCAGTAACATGCCTCGCAACAGGCGGCGCCTCCAACAACACCCTCTTCGCAGGCAGCTGGGACAAGGCAATCTGGTCCTGGGATGCCACAACGCGCCGACCGGGCCGTAAGTATGAGGGCCACTCCGATTTCGTCAAGGCTCTGGTCTGCGGCCGCCTCGGCGACAAGACCATCCTCGTCAGCGGCGGTGCAGACAAGAAGATTATCGTCTGGGACGCCGACGCGGGGCGCAAGCTACACGTTCTCCAGGACCCGACCACGACCATGATGTCGCTGCAGTCCCTCGCCATCGACCCGGTCCTCAGCACCGCGGACGAGATCGTCCTTGTGAGCGCCAGCAGTGATCCGCACATTCGCCGGTGGAAGATCAGCCTCGACTCGTACGCGCAGCTTCCCTTTGACCAGCCCCCTGCCGCTGGAGGAGAGAAGGCCGCCGCCGCGGGCGAAGAAAAGCTCACGATCCAAGAACACGAGACGAGCGTGTACAAGGTCCTCTTCGACATCACCGGCGACGAAGTCGACCTCTGGACCGCGAGCGCGGACGGCACCGCTAAATGCCTCCTCCGCGAAAAGGCCTTTTCCGCAGAAGACGCCTTTGAGCACGACGACTTTGTCCGCGCCGTCGCGCTCACGCCGGACTGGGTCGTCACGGCGGGAATCAACCAGCACATCAAGGTCTGGGACCGGACATCGGGCCAGCTGTACGCCCTCCTCGACGCGCACTTTGACGAGATCACCGACCTTGTCGTCCTGCGGGGTTCTTCGACGGCGGCGGCGGCGGCGGCGGCGGATGTGCTGTGCAGCGTTGGTATCGACTGTACGCTGCGGACGTGGCCTCTTGACCGTAAGGGGTTGGATGCGGCGGTCGAGGAGATTCGAGCTGCGTCCGAGGTTGTTGATGGGCAAGAGGGTGAGGGGGAGAAGAGGAAGGACGATGATAAGG